ACACTGGATACTTGAGTGTTAACTGTAAGTTTAACTTTTTTACTATTGTCATTTTTGAAAGCAGCAAAGCTATAGGACGTTAGTACGATGAATGCATTTTACTATTGCTGCTAACATAATAGTGCTAGAGTCTGTTTGTTTGGGTATTTGCTGACTGTCACATTTCAATTTTCTATATTTTTTATGGATAACATAAAATATGGAAAATTTACTTTCCCAGATCACCCAAAGATTTTCACACATCCTCTCAATGAAACAAGGAACGAAAGTCAGAGTGTTGTGTTAAGCTGCGAGTACGAAGGAAAACCATTAGCAATTGTGACATGGAAAAAAGATGGCGAGGTCATTGCAGATGGTGGTAGAAGAGCAATCACTAATCCAAGTGCTGTTGGACGAGCCACCTCTACTTTGACCATCACCAATCTTAACAGGACCGATGAAGGGTTATATACTTGTACTGTGAAGAATGCAGTTGGTACTAAGGTGTCAAACACTGGATACTTGACCGTTAACTGTAAGTAGATGTTTATACTTGTCCTTTTTTCCGAACAACAAAGCCATTAAATGGTACGACCGGGGTACATTTGGCTAACCAGGACAAAAACTAAAAGCAAGTCAACGGATATTTTGGAGTAAAAAGTTTTGTTTGATCTGTGAATGAAGTTTGTGCCATAAAATACTGACGTTTTTTCACAGTTATGTCAAGGATTTTCAGTAACCCTCGAAATGAAACAAAAATCGAAAGCCAGAGTGTTACGTTAAGCTGCGAGTACGAAGGAAAACCATCAGCAACTGTGACATGGAAAAAAGGTGGCGTGGTCATTACAAATGCTGGCAGAAGAACAATCACCAATCCAAGTGCTGTAGGTCGAGCCACCTCTACTTTGACCATCACCAATCTTAACAGGACCGATGAAGGGTTATATACTTGTACAGTAGATAACAGCGTTGGTAATGTGACGTCTCTTATGAACACTGGATACTTGACGGTTAACTGTAAGTTCATGATTTGTAATTATGGAGAATATTGTTAATCGTGGTGTTAGGGATTGATCGACTATTGTACTATCGAAGTTAGTTATTTTGATGTTTTTACATGCAGTTGTACACTGGAAAAAATCACGCGTTGTAAATTTGATATAAATATGATGTAAGTTTCCAAAATTCTGTATTTTTAATGTAAATAATTTCCATGAAATTTACAGAATTTTGGACACGTACATCATATTTACATCAAAAATTTACAATCTTTAAAGCGCGCGATTTTTTTCCAGTGATATAATATAGTTATATCTTCATATGAACCATAATTCTTGTTGAAGGCCCAAATCTCGCTTGGCTTCAACACATTTCCCTTGTTCTCTACAAGTGATACCGTAAGGTCAAATATTCCCATTCCTCACCACGTATTATTTTCCTCCCGACAAGAATTATCCATATCCCTCATTGGTTCTCCTAATAATTTTCAATGATTCCTTGTCACCATTATTCGCCGCCAATTCTCGCAAGCCCTTTTATCCCAAGTACTAGTCAGAGCTATAATTCCATCCCTTCCCCCCATAATCTAACTGGGTCTTCAACAGGCCTATGATAATACTTTGGATAATGGTAAGAACACTAATTAACCTCTTACTAATTTTCGAGAGCGAATTTGGATAAAGGATAAATTTAGTGCATTTAAGAAATTAAAGCCTCGCGAAAATGAGTACGCATAAGGTGTATTGTTCACGATTAATCTCTAATCATTCAATCATCTTAGAGTATTGTAGTCTTGACCGCCATTCCTATGCTCTTCTTTACAGATGCTGCTGAAAAAATATCTTTAGAAACCAATTCATATGACGTTCCCATTAATGAATCATTCCAATTGCTATGCAAAGGTGGAGGAAAACCTCGTCCGGAATTCACATGGACGAGAGATGGTAAAAGTGTCACCTCGCGGGCGAAAATACTTGGAAAGGACAACGCAATACTGAGAGTTGATAATGCAATGCGAGAAGATGGCGGGATTTATACGTGTTTTGGATATAATGGAATTGGGAAAAAAAGCCAAAGCTCAACTATTGTAATCACTGTCAACGGTGAGCATGGAATTCCTTATATTCTTTCATCGGTACATTCTTTCACTAGTCGTCTACAGTAATAAGGAATAGGCGATATGCATTACGGTGTCATTTTACTACCTCTCACAGAATGTTCTGCGTATTTCATTTGTTATTTATAAGATTTTTGATATATAGCGCGCGCTCTGATTGGCTGACGACCGTGTTTATATCAGAGGACAGAGACACGGCTTACCGGCAAAATTTTCTTTTCGCTCGAAAAAGTTTATAAAAGAAATATAAAACGGCCGCTTGTGTCTCTGTCCTCTGATATAAACACGGTGGGAGTTCGAAAAACACGAGAGAAGCAAGCTTAGGAACACGAGCGTAGCGTTTTATATTTCTTAAATTTAGATTTTTAATTCGTGGGCATCTATCGCAGCATAATGCCCTATTATCGACTACTCTATTGTCTTAATAGTACGCATATGTGGTGCCATTTTGTTAGTGCATGCTGTTTAACAATTAGACCTCGAGGTCGAGTGGACTACGAGCTAATAGCCCATGAAGCCGAGTCCGCGAGGCCGAATGGGCTATTAGCTCGTAGTCCACGAGGCCGAGAGGTCTAATTGTTTTAGTATAAACATACTAATCGGTCAAATAGTGAAAACAAATTGAAATATCCTTAAAATAATTTATAATTTATTTATTTTGATTTTCCCGCGAGTGGTATATCACAAATTAGACCGTTAGTAGAGTAGCCAATCACAGCGCAGTATGAGTGATAGACCATTAGTATGTTTATACTAACTATAGTTAGTCGGGCTGCGAAAATAATGATTATGGCTGGTATTGCCGCAGTAAAACTGCCATTTGTTTCTGAAGCTCTTATATGGAGCGCTGAAAAGAAGCAATAAGACTGGGCGCGAGTGTAACTTCTTGTGGCATTCTATCACGATCCTGGTGTATATCAGAGGACAGAGAAAAGACTGACTTTTTAATATGAAACGGGGGCAGTCGTGAGCCTTATGGAGTCAGAAGCGTTTTCAATTTAACAATTGCTTCTGGCAGACAAAATTGTAAGAAGTCAATTATTATCATTAATATTATTATTTCTTTCTATTTTCGTAGAAACAAAACCGCAAGTTGACTTTGTACCAAGCGAGACATCTATTTCTATCAAAATACACAACGACAAATTCACCAAACTTGGAAAGAAAATATGGTAACGTTAATTTGTATATTACGTGACTATATGATGCACAATATAGTCACGCAATAAACAGTAACATAAATATGTCACCGTGTATTGCGTGACTATATGACGCACAATATAGTCACGCAATATACGATCAGTTCAATGTGTCACCGTATATTGCGTGACTTTATTGTGCAGCCATATTTTGAATGACCATTAACAGACCCTGAATGATCAGATGTTTTCTGGATTTAACTTATGATAAATCTGAGATAAATCTGAGCATGCATCATGAGAAAGAATTTCCTCCTACACAAGAGTCTTTCTGGTTGTAATTTCCGACGAGTAATCGATTGACCGTCGGGAGCTACAACAGAGAGACTTTGCTAGCAGGGAAGAGAAAGAATTGATGAACCAGCGTGACGCTATATCATCCATTCACTGGAAAAAATCGCGCGCTTTAAAGGTTTGTAAATTTGATGTAAATATGACATAAGTGTCCAAAATTCTGTAAATTTGATGTAAATGATTGCCAATAATTTTACAGAATTTTGGACACTTACATCATATTTACATCAAATTAAATTTACGACCTTTAAAGTGCGCGATTTTTTCCAGTGATTTACTTATACCTTTTTATGCATTGTTTATAGTTATTCGTTAATATATGTATCGGAAGGTTTGAGTCGTCCCAAGTATTCAGAAAACAATTATACACAAGCCATCAAAAAGAATGGTCCAAGCTCATTATATGTCACAGGATTGATAGATATTAACCAATTAGAACGATTCATCGTTGGTAATGGGGAAACGTATCCTAATAAACTTATTAATTGTGGCGGGAAGAGAAAGAGAAGAGATGGTAAGAGATGTTTTTGTTCACATGAAATTCATGAAAACCAGCAGGGAAAAATTGATTGTCCATCCTAGAAGGGTATCTGCTTGTCACGTTTGTTACTTAACTGTTCATTTTGTTTCCATATAAGCAATCTTTGTTTTATCATACTCAGCTATCGATGTCTTTTTTAGCGATTGTATCGCCCACTGGCTTCAGTTATGTTAATAAAAAACTGGAACCCGGTAAGACGTATTCTTTTCTTCAACGTGCTGAAACGAGAACCAAAGGAGAACATGAAGATTATGGATGGACTCCATACATTACGACTAAAAAAACTGAAGAACCACCATCAGAGAACGTGGGTGGAATTGTTGCTGGTGTATTGGCAGCTATCGTGGTGATTTGCATCATAGTTGTCATAGTGGTATGTACAGAAATATTGGCTTCCATGGTCAGATGACCACTTGACGTTATACAAAATCTTCCTTATTGGATTGGAAGAGAATTTACATAGTTTTGATGGAATGCAATCTGGCTGATTGATTGACTCGGTTATCTTGATTGACTTACTGATCGATTGATTAATTGAATCAAATCGATTGTCTTGATTGATTGATTGATTGATTGATTGATTGAATCGATTGTCTTGCTTTGATTAATTAATTGATTGATTAGTTGATTGATTAAATGATTGAATCAAATGGATTGTCTTGATTGATTGATTGAATCGATTGTCTTGCTTTGATTAATTAATTGATTGATTAGTTGATTGATTGATTAATTGAATCAAATCGATTGTCTCTATTTGATTAATTGATTGATTGATTGATTGAATCGAATCGATTGTCTTGATTGATTGATTGATTGAATCGATTGTCTTGCTTTAATTAATTAATTGATTGAATCGAATCGATTGTCTTTATTTGATTAATTGATTGATTAGTTGATTGATTGATTGATTGAATCGAATCGATTGTCTTGATTGATTGATTAGTTGATTGATTGATTAGCTGATTGATTGATTGATTGGTTTGTTGGTCGATTGACTGATTGATAAGTGTCTTGATTGATTTATTGATTTACTGGTTGATTTATTGATTTATTTGTTAATGGACTTGATTAAATGAGTTTTGGTTCATTGATTGATATTATTGGTTGATCGGTTGGATGTTTCTTTGGTTGATATTGATTGATTGCGTATTGACTGCAGTGAAGTTGTTGTTGTTGCTGTTTCGTTACCTCGATGGCCATTTGCAATGCAACAGGGAGATTTTATATCACTAAAATTATACAACTCACTCAAAGGGCTGTCAGAGAATAGCATCCTCCKCAGACCTGAAGAGACGTCTGCGAGGAGGCTAGTCAAAGAATAAGGCTGTCATATATTTATCAAATATTGTCAATWAATTACTCTTAATTCTGGTATTAGATTTATCTCCACCGACGAAAAAGGGACAATGATTCCGACGAGGACGGAGTGCCAATGCAGAACCGCAGGGGTACCAAAAACAGGCTCAACAGCATTGCACGCATGAAGCATAGTCATGGTATGTAACTCTGACCTATCACCAAGGAGTGTAAAAAGATGAATTTAACACCGTAAAAAAGTATGTGAAATAACTTACTGACGTTTCGGACGTTAATCCTTCGTCGGAGTAAAGAGGAAAGACTAAGAATTGACGACTAACGTCCGAAACGTCAGTAAGTTATTTCACATACTTTATACGGTGCAAATAAGCAAATATTTCGAAGATAATAATAGTGKTTTAGAGTCAAGAGATTACCTGCACTGAACAACAAAGAACTTCCTCAGAWAAGTTGTCCTTCGTTTAGCAGCCATATTTGGTAATCTTACCTTATTTGGAAGTACATTTGGACTGTTTTCTTTTTTTTTGCGATTATCTCTACTTTTAAAGCTTGAAATCGTCTGAAACTTGCAGATATTATAGCGAAAACACTTCTCAACAAACGGCCATTTTGTTTGTTTCCATATATGGSATGGATTCGCCAAAGGAATCCCGAAACTAAAATGCACAGGGATCCCGCACGAACGACATACAATTCTATACGAGTAATGCTGAAATGTAACATGTATAGTTGAATTTCGAGTACTTTCTGGATCTCATTTGGTGTTAGCTTTGGTGACATTACCTTTTGTGACCCAATGTTAATTMAATCGGGTGTATACTTGGTRTTTTTCAGTCTAGTACGAGCGCCATCTTGAAAGATATACSAAATACACAAATCCTTTCGTTGCATTAAACTGAGAGGTAGCGGTTGAGCCTGAAGTGRTGGACACTTTYTCATGACTCCCRAAAAACATGGYCATCTTACTTTGATGCTAAGGCGTGGCTACCTTTCAAAATGGCGCCTGAAACTGGGAATTATTTAAGTGACTATTTGCTTGCGATTTCTTCATTTTACGCACCCCCTTGTTATAACCTCAGTACAGATTATTGAGAACTTACAGTAATATTCTCACTTGTATTATTTACGATTTATTTTTTGTTATTSTATTCCAGCTCAGTACATATCAGGAAACGTCTTCTCTGCCAAAGAATTTGAGCGCCACGTCAATCAACTGCACTCAAACTCCGATCTGTTGTTTTCACAAGAGTACTCGACAGTCCARTCTCCAGGCACTGTTACTATTACTAACTCCTTACAACCCGAGCAGAAACCTAAGAACAGATACAATAATATTGCAGGTGAAGTGACTATGCCGCACAACAGCTGACTCTGACTCCAAACGTTTTTAGAGCAAACGCAAGAAAACTGTGAAATACTGTTTTCTGTTTTCAATGAATTCAACTGTTTTCAATATCAATGAACCCGAACGCTATGAAGATGAATCCACATGAGGCCATTTTTGATTCAACTTGATTGCGTGTTCTGGTTCATTTATATTGACAATTACCTCTAATTTACCTCTAATGCTCTATTCTGCATTCCTTGAAAATTGACGGCTCTCTTTTTTTGTAGCTTTTGACCACACTCGTGTCGTTCTAAGCACTCTTGAAGGAGATCCWAGTTCGCACTACATTAATGCAAACTACCTGGACGGCTTCTCTAAGAAAAGAGAGTACATCGCAGCTCAAGGCCCCTTACCACACACATGTGACGATTTTTGGAGGATGATCTGGGAACGAGGGTCCAAGCTTATTGTCATGGTAACATGAACACCGCTGAACACAATGAGACTTCTGAACATTTACGTCACTACTTGATTTGCAATGGATTGTGGTATTGTTTTCTAGAGAAAACAAAAGAAATCCTAAACATATCCTACAAAGCATTGCATATACAGTACATGACGTAAAAGCTTCAGAGGTTTATTATATGATACAGTTTTGAAATATCTGTAATGCGGTCTTAGCCTCAACTGYACTCAGAACTTTATTATTGCCTTTCTTTGCATACAAACCGTTTGCATTGCAATAAGGCTTTTACTGAAACAAAAAAATAAGGCTAAGTTTACGTAAATTGAACGCGACTATAGACTGCCAGCTCATAGGAATGCAGCTCCAACTTGAAGACAAAACAATTAATTCGAGTTTCAAGAGAAAATCTTTATCTAATCCTCTAGATAAAGCTGTTTTGTCGTCACATACAAGGGCTCTATTCATCCTTAGTTCTATAATTTCAGTCGTTCTTTCAAAAAGTGCTTTATATAACAATAGTCAACTTTAGATATTTTGGTTCGATGACTATGTACAAAAGAACGCACACGAGGCTCCGGGGAAACAATGGATAATCTTAATTTATTCTTTTATTTCCCCGGAGCCTCGTCTGCAATTCTTTTGTGCATGGTCACTGAACCAAAATATCTAAAGTCGACTATTATAACCTATTTTCAAATCACTCATGTTCAATGTGATGGATTTGTTCATATAGGTAACGAATTGTGAAGAAAAGGGACGTATTAAGTGTCATCAATACTGGCCATCATCGGGCTCCATGAATTTTGGACGAATTGAAGTGACTATTTTGAGTACGGTAGAGCTTAGTCACTATACTATCAGATCGTTCCAAGTCAAGGTACGGTTTAGAATTGATTGACTATCATGTTGTTACGATCTGTTTTCCTTCGCTCTTCTTTTCTGGTCTCCTCTAAGTTTCTTTTTTTCTCTTTTCTTCGTTTCTCCTCTCCTACTTTCTTGTCACTTTCTTCTCGTCTATTATTATCTTTTTTTTATCTTTTTTATTATTATCTTTTTTCTTTACTTTTCTCGTCAAGTGTTTGCTCTTGTAGCCTATCCTTTGTTGTTTTTTTTTTGAGTTTCTCCTTTTCGTCTAGCTGCGTCTTTCACAATTCAGCATCCGTGCTGCTATAAAKGACGATTAGCATTCAACACCTTTTCCTTTAACTTTCTTCTTTTTTTTCTTCTTCTTTTTTTTTTTTCTCCACTTGTTTTCTCCCCTTCGCCGTTTWTATACCTCTTTACTCTTCCTTTCACTTCATTTCTTCGCACGCCTTCTTGCTCTCTTCCAAATAATTTCTTTTCTTCTTTGTATGTTTCGTATTGTCACATAATATTTCCTATGATTTTTAAAGATGCAAAATATACCCGAGCAAAGACAAATCACGCAATATCACTACACCGCTTGGCCAGATCACGGCGTGCCGTCTAGTGTCACATCGGTATTGAACTTTGTAAGAAAGGCAAGCGGTGCGAATCCACCAGATGCAGGCCCTATGGTAAGTACTGGCTCTCTTATTAATGTGTTTGATTTTACTTTGGGGGCTGGGGGGTTTGGGAGGGGGTGGGGGGAGAGCGGAGGGACTGTGTGCTCCTTTGACAAGTTAATTGCAAGAAAGACTCGTTTGTTTGTTTGTATGTTTATTGATATTGTTTCAATTTTCAGGTTGTACATTGYAGTGCTGGTGTCGGTCGAACAGGTACTCCCACAGACCAATTTGTTATTGTTAATTTAATCATGCATCAATATACCTTTGTATGAAACCATCACATGTTACTAAATCCCCCATTTWGGATGACAAAAAATGTGAACAACCTCAAAAACAAAAGGAACATAGACCGTCAAGCTTGAATTTTCTTTGTTTTGAACATCCTAGAGGGAATTTTGCCCTCCAGAATGGCGGATTTAGTACCATGTGACCGTTTCATGCAAAAGGCCTCTAACCATGGGCTGCACTGGAGGCTATTTGTCCATTGATAGACTCTAATGCATCCTCTTACATAAGCAGCAATGGAGGCCATTAATTCATCAATATTTGWTTCTTGAAGGAACCTTYATCGTAATCGATGCACAGCTGAAGCGCATYGCGGCYCAAGGTGACGTAGACGTTTATAATTACGTCATGCACCTACGTACACAACGTAACCTCATGGTCCAAGTAGAAGATCAGTATATTCTGATCCACGATGTTCTCGTGGAAGCCATAGCTTGTGGAAACACTGAAATACAAGCTAGAGATCTCAGGAAGAAGATTCGAGCTTTGATGAGACCAAATGAGGATACAGGTGAGTGTTGTGGGAAAAACATTTTTAAAACAGTTTTAGCTATAGCTCTAAGGTGATAAGGCCCCTTAATATGATACCTAATCCGGCCATCCGAAAAGTGGCCGTAATAACGATGTGGTCGGATCAACCTTCTAGAAAAGTATTGGGATTTAATTCACCGGGACCAAAACATTTGGTCGTTATGACGGGGTGGTTGCGTTAAGTGARTAGAGGTGAGGTTCCACTGTAAGACGTGCTGTAGTATTTCGTATAGAGAAAAACAAAACAAAACCTTGTTTTATCCGTGTAAAATGAAATATTTATAAATGATAATCARTCAATTACAAACAGGTCTAAAATTTACGATATGATATTTCGGACGTTGATCCTTCGTAYTGTTACAATCTTCCGCATATAAAAATGAGACAYCACGAATTATTACATTCTTTTCCCCTCTCGCCTGTCGGGGACTGCAATAAGACGKAAATACCCCAAAACCCACAGAGAACTCTCCAAACAACATTGAACAGAACGGAAAACTACTGAGGATAAAAACACGGTGCTATAAAGTCTCCCTACCTCATAATCACGTTTATTAACATTGATAATCATTGTGACAGGGCAAACGTCCATGGAAAARCAGTTCCAGCTTCTTTCACGAAACAAGGCACCACCGTCCAAGTTTCTAGCAGCTAACTTGCCCGTCAATAAGAACAAGAACCGTTACGCAAACGTCCTGCCGTACGACGATACGCGCGTACACCTTACGCCACAACCAGGCGCTGACGGGTCAGATTATATTAACGCTAACTACATCGACGGTTACATGCAGAAAAGACTTTTTATCGCTACACAGGCCCCCATACCTGACACTATACCAGACTTCTGGAGAATGATTTGGGAGCAAGATTGTAGTACGATTGTGATGTTGTCGAATGAAACTCAGAGCGGCAAGGTTAGAATGAGAGAATTTGATTGTAGTAACAATAGCGTAGSGGCTCTAGGGGAGGGAGGGAAGGGGGACAACGGCAGGGGATGGGGGTCGGGGGAGGAGGGGAAAACGTCGAGGATAAATTTTTGAAGATAATTTTTCTTTTGTGAAGGTAAAAGTTCATCGGTACTGGCCAGGAAAAGCTCCCACGACCATCGCTAATCTGGTGATTGAAATGACTAGCGAGAGAGCATTCGAGGACTATGTRATGAGAGAATTTAAAGTCACCAATACAGGCGTAAGTTAACTAGATTCCTTTAAGGTCTCTTNTCACGGACGGTAAGACAGTACCACTATACCGCATGGCCCGACATCGGTTCTCCCGACTCCAGTGCAGGTCTCACGGACCTAATTGGACAAGTACAAAAATGGCAACAGCGATGTGGTGCTCCTTTGATTACTGTTCACTGCAGGTAGCACAATAAAGTAGAAACTTAATCTTACGAATACCGAAAAAACATTGGAAAAGGGGRTGATAGTGTGTTAATTTTTCAGGGGGGGTGTCCTTGTTTGCTTTATATCATTCATTTCATCCATTCTCGCTTACTATTGGTTAATTCTTCACCTACAGTGCTGGTGTTGGTCGAACTGGTGTGTTTTGTGCCGTTTGTTCATTGATTGAAAGACTAAAAGCTGAAGCCCTCGTGGACGTCTTTACTACTGTCAAACTATTACGAGAACAAAGACCAGCTATGGTACAAACAAAGGTAGGAAAATGTCACATTAAAGCGAATTTCATCTGACTGCGCAAAGCAAGGCACTTTCTCGCCGTGACCGTGCCGTGCCGTGACGGTGGTTTCCTGCGTTACTGTCATGCAAGGTTGCATGACCGTGCCGTGTCCATGCTCTGATCCATGCCTTTGCACATTCGTACGAAATCCCTTCTATCCTCGTCTACACCAAGACACTTTATAAGCGAACAGGCTGTAATGGGCGTATTCAATGATTTGAAAACTCTAACTCAGACAACTGAGACAAAACCATTTTTGGTGTTTTACTAGTGAGGCACTAAGAGCAACCAACAAGTCAAACAAACGTTAAACCAAATCCAAAAGCTCAACTATGGCCATTTTAAGTAAACCACACAAACATTTTTAAATACAGCAATATGCAGAAAATAGGATTTTTTTGCTCATGTTTCNGCTACCTGTGAAAAGTTGTTATTTTGTAGCATTCATTGAAACTCCCAATAGAAGTCTAAATAAACCTATGTTCTCTTATAGGACCAATACGAGTTTTGTTACCAAACTCTCGGAGAATACCTGGATTCTTTTGACCCGTACAACAACTTTGACTGAACCCATAGTTCAAACCTCATTCTCACCACTAATTTCCCTCCACATTCGTCGCGACTCGCAACTTAAAGAGATCATCGTCTCATCAAAGTCAAAGGCTTAGTATTAAATAGTTTATAAATTAATGTATATTTTTGATACAAAATTAATAACAAGAATTATAGTACAACCAATAAATAGTGTTTACCTTTTTTAACCAACGTTGATCCCGGGATATGATCGATTAGGACAGACACTTGAACATCAAGTGGGAAACCGCATACCGATAAAAACGCAGGCTAATGGCGATTTCCCAAAATTCATGTCGGCCTCCAATCGATTTTTTCCCGATGATCAACGCTGTATTAAAACTGGTTATATATTTGTACTCTTGCATACGACCTGAGACGTGTCAAATATAGATTACGTTCGGGAAAAAGCTTTAGATGCACTCACGCAATTATTTTTGAGAAAGGGGTGAGCTATGACGTCTTATAATATATAAGGGAGTTGATTCTATTGACAAACTATATATATTCCACTGATTTGAATTATTTTAAATGTGTTTTTTTTTTCTTTGTACAGATTTTGATACTTTTGAGTCGTAGGCCGCGTCCACGCTTATACGAATAAATCAAAACTCAAAATTGTTCTTGCGGATACACATTTCTACTATACATGCATTTGGAAACAATTATGAATGAATTTTCAATTTTTCGGGTACGGATACGTATTGAAGGATGAAATCCGCAAAAAAGATCGTGAACAAAAAAAATTCTGGATGCGTTTTGATTAGGGAATCAACAGCTCGCTGCCTTTGTTTTGAATATTACAAGCCGGACGCTCTCATATTCTTTTTTATATCACCGAAAAACAGATGTACGTCTGGTTGATATAGTGATTTTCAGCGGAAACAGTTTATTAGTCTATATAAGCTCAATTTKAATTAAAAAGAACGCTTCTTTGGCATCCGACAACAGCCAGGTGAAAGTCACTATGCCATGATCTAAGTAAGAGAGTTATGTAGATAGGATAGGATATATTTAAGAGCAATTAAATAACAACGGTAGAATTAAAAGCAGAAAGAAACTGATCCAACAACAACTGATAGACACTTAGACACTTACAATAGAAAGTTACACTTTGTTTCACGGTTATAATGTCTGTTCTACTATTTCAGTGATTTTCACGGTATGCATGGTACAGTAGTGGTTTATAGTTTATCCTAAACGAGCACAAACAAATATATCATGCACATATAAGCAGGACATAAAAGCTATAAAACAAAGAAATAGAATTTATATAAAGATATGTAAGACGTATATGAATAAAAATGAATTTTGTTAAGTTGTTGTTCTTTTTGTTCTTTCATTTCATTTTTTTTAATTTGGACATTATTCACATTCTACATTTAATAACTGTCATTTATTTGTTTTTATTATTTTTTGCGCAATATATCATATCTGTATATTAATAATTTTTTTTAGTAACTGTTTAAAATATCATATTATATTTTTCGATATGTTTCTCCCCTTTTTCTTAACTTTGGTCATCATTTCTAATAACAAAAATATTTTCTTGATCCATGCATTCCTTTCCCATTTTATTTCTCATTTCAACTAGGCGGTGAGTACTAATTACTTTACTAAGTTCAGGCTCCTGATTGACTTGGTRMAATCTACTAGCTCGGCTGGAAACTGCTTCGCTCACAAATATGGCGGGGATGAAGACAGAGTGACTCCTGAAAAAATTGAATTGARCGCTTCAGCAAAACGGCAAGTGGTTTGCTAATATTACGAGTGCAAATCTAAGGTATGTATTGATTGTGTAATTGCTATTCTGTTTCTATACTTACTTATAACTAAGTGGAAATACGCAGACCGAAATGCAGCATGGGAAAGCAAATTTTATGAGTTTACTTGAATGGCAAAACAGTGACTTCACTTAATACAATGACCTTTATATAAGTAATGCTACTATGAAGCATGTTTAGGCAAATACGATCGAATTTCTGAGAAAAAGGGTTCATATTTGCGACATGACAACGTTAATCAAAAATGTTTATTTATTTATTTATTTATTTATTTATTTATTTATTTATTTATTTATTTATTAATTTATTAATTTATTTATTTATTTATTTATTTATTCTCTTAGAGGCTGCAAGCACTAAAATCACGAAATCTTTAGCTATTATTTGACTGCGCGCTCCTGTAAAATAGTTCAATTCCTTAATTTTGCCTAGAATATTTTATAGTACTTTCTAGTGTGTTTAGTACAAGTGTTTGCACTCTACTTATTTATTCCCCTCCTTAAACCTTTCCCTTAACTTTCCTACCTTTCTCAGTAAAACACAATGTTGCGTTACCAATTATTTTTGTCATAGCGAGAGATTTAAATATAGCATTTAATAACTTMGTTTCCCGTGGTAATCGGAGACGGAGACCTTGGCTTAGCTGTCGATGCCGCTCGTCTCCGTTCACAAGCCAACATAGCACAACGAGGCTGGAATTCTTCCTTCTKAAACCACTTCCCCGTGACGGAAAAACACTCATCGWCAACTGGAATTYATTTGCTGACACGGGCCATCGAAACAGCTCAATGACTCTGAACTGACAATCAAACATACAGCATTCATGGGTTTCGTTTAGGACTATGTATTGTGTAGTCGTCACGATAAGTATTTCAGTTTCGTTCGCCTCTTTGATGGCGGAGATATCTAACTGACTTCTGCCTTTTTCGTCGCAAGAAAAGCCATTGTTGGAACTTCAAAATGCAGTTGGCTATATTCTGGATCTACGCTCTTGTTTTATTCATAAATATAAGACTTGGAGCTCTGGAAGTTCAAGCGAATGGTAAGAATACGTTAAAGTTTCCTCTTGTAATATAATGAGAGTGTTTTATTTCTCTTTCGTCGATAATACTTAATCCAAAAATGTACTTTTAACTTTTATTCATGAATAGACACGTATTTATAAAAGGGAGATTTTCAAAGGTCGAGTAGTTGAGAAGGTTAAACGGGACTCGAATACATTGACTTTTAATATAAGAGATAATTGGTGGATTTGTTGCTTAGGGCTCAATACATATAAGGATTAATTGTGCTAATAAAATATTACTAAGCGCTTTGTTCATATATTTGTTAATTGATTTAAACATAAGCAATGTTAGTGATAATAGTTAATCTTTAATAAAAGTTTTCGGCCTTGTTTTTTAGTGGTATTTTTGTCGAAATTTGCAAGTGAAATTTCAATTGGTGAATGTGTTTCATTTTATACACTTTGCTTTCTGTTTTCGGTTTCAAACATGTAGCTTTGTTGACTTTGAACATGACTTAAAATCTATATTAGATAAGAATGTACTTTCAAATGCCAATGAAATGATGTGAGTGTTTGAAATGTCGCCAATATTCATAAATATTTCGTTTTTTCTATTCAGCAACGTCTTTCATCGCATCACCGATATCGAAACCCTCGCCCACTGACGTCAGCACTATGGAGATTACGTCATCACACGTGACTTTGTCAAGATCTTCGTCTTCACCCTATACAGCCTCGATTGAAGCGAACGCGAGCGCTATTTCACCAACAGACTCTGCCAAAAACGTTTCAACTTTAATTTTGCAATCAAACAATAGCGTAACATCTGTGGTTGCTACTACTAGCGTGACGTCTGCTCAAGCCAATGAAAGTGTCACATCAACACAGATGTTTAATAGGAGCGTGACTATCAATACCACTTATGTCGTTCAATCAACAGCTGTGACTCCAACATTGATAGCAGCGCCTACCTTGTCTTTGAGTACTTCATACAGTACCATGACCACTAACGTGACAAAATCAGAACCATCGAGCGTTACTCCAGACATGACAACATCAGAATCACCTGGCGTTACTCCAGGTGTGACCATATCAGAACCATCTAGAGTTACTCCYAGCGTTACACCAACAAACGTAACGCTTTCCACTGTTTCTTTGAACATCACAACAACCATTCCTCCTACAACAGCTCAACTGCAAGGTATGTATGGCGGTGA